AGATGGTAAATTTTATGGGTATCTTACAATAAAAAAATTGAAAAATAAGAATCATGGGTTATGTGAAAGGACATTATAAACATAGGTATCTATGAAATCTGGGATTCCTAGGGACAAGGGTATATTCTCTATAAAGTAAAACTCCCACCCGCTGTGACTCTTAGCGTCCGAGGTGCTTGGGAATCAGTCATTGGCCCTGAATAACTTTTCCTTGGAATACTTGCTCTAAATGCCTTCATCTCTGTGGGTTTCAGCACCCACAGAGTGGTTAGACTCAAGGTGTCTGAATTTCACCTCCCCTGCCCCAGAGCCCCAGCTATGCCCTCCCTGTTGTCCCTTCAGCACAGAAGTGACCTGCAGCAGTGAGACAACATGGGTATCTAGTGACAGTCAGCCCTCAACAATCATGCTGTTGATTCAGGCTCCATAAGTGACAGGATGTTCCTTGCAGATGGCACCAGGCTCTGTGGCACCCAACCCATTTCACCCCCTTCTGGCACTGCTACTTGCTCACCCAGTAGTGGCAGGAAAGGCACAGCCTTTAAGATCCGCACCATCTCCTTGACCTTGGGCTCTTCACTGACCAGCAGCAGATTGTGCCCCACAAAAAGGGGCAGCAGGTTTTGGTACTTTGAATCCTCCAGAAAGGGCTTTAGGACCTGGGATGGCAGAGAAGAATGGCTGATGGGGGACAAGTTGAGAGAAAAGCCATTTACCTTGGTCACGGACCACATCAGGCTGGGTGCAACCCAAGGGTCCCCTTAGCCCCTAACCACAGTCCAGGCACCAGACTAGTGGGTGGCTTGTCTAGACCGACTAAAGGAGGAGTCAAAATACTCTTCGAGAGGAGAAGGGCACAGGCCTATCTAGAGGGCATGGGAGCAGAAGGGCCCAGTGCCTACCTGGTTGGGGAAGACCTTCATCAGAATCTTATGTTTCCGCAGCTGGTGCCTCATGAGAAGCTTGTCCTCTGCACTTATGGCCACATTCTGGCAGACAGCTATCATTCGGTTATTTTGGAAAACTGCTGCTATTTCCCGACGGAGGAGCCGGATGAGGCCTGACTCCTGAAGGCAGGAAGGAATGGCCAAGGAGATGTCAGCTGTCTCTTCTCCTGGCATCCCTCGCTCCCTCCTGCTCACTTCTGGTGATGCCCATATGTGCAACACACTGGAAAGCAAGTGGGGTTAGGCTCCTGACTCTCAGAGATGGATAACATCTCCCACTGTACCCTTTCCATTTGCATTAGCAAATCACAGTCATCAAAGTAGTGTGTGCAAGCCTGAGAACACTTGCTCTTCCTCAAACAGGCCAGCAGGTTGATCTAGTCAATGCTATTTGATAGTAGTATTGTGGAAATGACTCCAGTTCTCAATCTGACACTGTACTCATGTTGAATTCTTTTACCAATTGTAAATACAAGATAGATCTGGGGGTGCAGTTCACTGGTAAGGCTTGTAAGGACCTAGGGTTGGCTGCCAGTGCCAAGAAAAAAAGGAAGGGAGGGAGGGAGGGAGGCAGGGATGCAGATAACTCTTGCAGTGTTAGCTTAAAACTGAGACATTTTCCACAAAGCAAGACTTCATTTTCTTAAACAATGTTTCTTTTTTGTTTGCTTCTTTTGTTTTTCCTTGTGTTTTGAGATAGGGTCTCACTATGTATCCCAGGTTGACCTGGAGTTCCTGATCCTCTTGCCTCAGCCTCCCTAGTGCTGTTCTGCCATACCTAGCCATACCTAGCTGAACCATCAAAGATGAGAACTTGAGGACCCAAGAATGTACTTACAGACCTCCATAAACACTATTTAAGAGATTTTTTTTTTCTCCCCAAAGCTAACATTCTAAAATTTATTTAAACAGTGAACTGCCTAGATGTCATGGTGCTCTTTGCAGGAGTCCATGACAGTACTAATTCATACAAGTTAAAATAATGGAAGATACATCAGTGTGCTAAATGTAGGTTCCAGATCTTCCTGGTTCAATATAGTGCTCACTAGGCACATGTGGCTATTTACATTTAGAGTAATTAAAATCAAGGGCTGGGCGAATGGCTCTAGTGGTAGAGCACTTATCTAGCACACGTGAGGCCCTTAGTTCAATCCCCAGTACCACCAAAAAGAAGAAAAAAAAGATATAAAAAATAATGACATCAAACACAATTACGAATTCAGTTCCTAGCTGAGTGTGATGGCACATACAGCATTCAGGAGGCTGAGGCATGAGAACTGGAAATTTGAGACCAGCCTGGGCTACGCAGCAAGTTCCAGAGCAGCCTGAACTATATAGCAAGACCCTTCTCAAAAAAGCAAACAAAATATTCAGTTCCTCAGTCACACTAGCTTAATTTCAAGTGCTCAGTAGTCACATATGGTTAGTGGCTACCATGTTGGATGGTGCAGATAGAGAACATCTCCATCATCCCAGAAAGTCATTATTCACATACTGTTCTAGATTCTTCTATAGCTGTGAACTAAAAATTATTGTAGAAAAAAACAACTGGAAAAATTACATTCAATTTGTATGAATTGAGATATGTATGAAGTTGTCAGGCAACTTTAGCTGGGCTGAACTGGGAGGGGCACTGCACCTGTATTCTCAGCTACTTGGGAGGATGAGACAGAAAGATCTCTTGAGCCCAGGAGTTCAAGACAAGCCTGGGAAATATGCTAAGACCCTATCTCAAAGAACACATTAGTTGGGTCAAAGATAAGTGCTAGGTAAAATAGGCCCAACTACTGAATAATGGTGTCTAATACTATTCCACAGGCTGACTGTTCAAGGGCCCATTTCAGATTGCTTTCGTTTTCACAGGAGAAACCCAGATGCAAGGTTGTCTTCCCATTCTTCCTTGAAGAATCTACTCAATGACCAAGATCATCTCCTCCATCAGTGTTTGACACCTGAATTAAATCCCCCAGGCTACAATTGCTCGTTACTGTCTCTCCAGCAGGAGAGGACAGCTATCAGAGTCCTTATGTAGCAGTAGACAACTAGAAAACTAGAATGTTTTAGGTACTACAATAACAAGAACCATTGGTTTATTTTTTCTTTTTTGTTGTCAGTACTGGGGTTTGAACTTAGGGCCTCCCACTTTCTAGGCAGGCGCTCTTTCCTTGAGTCATTTCTCTTTTGTGATGGGTTTTTTGAGATAGGGTCTCACGAACTATTTTCCTGGGGCTGGCTGGCCTTGAAACTGTGATCCTCCTGAGGAGCTAGGATTACAAGTGCAAGCCACCATCGTCCAGCCCTATTCCTTTTTTATGGACAGAACACTTCTGTTATTCCTCCATGAAAATGTGGAAGTCTCAGCTCCTTTTATGACAGGAGAAAGCAGAGCCGTATGGCCTAGTGGTAGAGTGCCTAAAGTCCTGGATTTGATTCCCCAGAACTACAAATTTTAAAAGACAAGAAAGATAATCTCCTATTCCCTCACCTGCTTGGGTAGCCTTCACATACACATTTTTGGAAATAGGTAAAACATGAAAGAAATTCAAGAGGCCCATCCAATCTACAGGGCCCAAAGGCCAATGTAGAATCAAGTACAGATTCACTTTAAAGCATGTGGCCCTCAGAGTCAAAGTGGAAAAGTGAAATAATGATGTGAGGACTGTGGCCTGAAGTCCTGCTTCACTGTGAGAGAAGTATTTTATTTAGTTTTTTGGTGTTTGAAACAGTGTCTCACTATGTAATCCAGACTGGCCTCAAAATTGCTATGTAGCCCACACTGCCTCAAACTAGTGCTCTTCCTGCCTTAGCCTTCTGGGCTCTGGGATTTACCACAATGCCCAGCAGAAAAGATCATTTTAATCCACCATCCCACCACCAAATTATATGGACCCAATCTCCTTACCTCCTTTGGGGGCCTAGGAGGTGGTGGCAGACATCTTGGGTTGATGGCAGGTTTGGGGGGAATATACTCAGTGACAGCCATTAGCTTCTGCCGCTGAAAGTGCATGACACGATGGTGGCGGGTTACAGCTTTGGAGCCATAGCGCACAGTCTGGAGGATGGGTACCAGGCCTGGGAGGAAAGATGGTCAAGATGGTGAAATGCAGCCTCTTGAGGGCCCTAGTTTGCTACAGATGGAGAAAAAGCACACACTTTGGACAGAGACACATTCAGCACAACAATGGAATAAGAAACTGCCTGCCAGATATCCTGAATTCCCAAACCTTCTCTTCTCATTTTACTGGGTGACGTTAGGTAAATTGCTTGATCCCTGAAGGCTCCATTTCTCCAGTTCTTTTCAGTGCAGAAATGGGATTTTTAAAAAATGAGAACAAAGTAGAAAGTATTTTGAACACATTAAGCAAAAAGGGGAGAGGGTAGAGCAGACCTTTTCTTAAATGACCACATAGTAAAAATTTTAAATTTGGGGGCTCAACTCTACCAAAAAGCAGCCCTAGACAATATGTAAGCATATGAGGACATGTTCCAATGAAACTTTATTTATAAAACACAGTGATCATTGACTGAGGGTGTAGGTCAGTGGTAGAGCACTTTCCTAGCATACGTGAAGCCCTGGGTTCCACTGCAAGCTCTGCCAAGAAAAAGAAAACAGAAGAGAAGAGACAAGACAAGACATAGTGGCCCCTGGTCTAAACCAGTGGCTTGTCTAAATATACCCACCCCCACTCAGCCATTAATACCAGCACCATCCGGGACCTTGTTAGAAATGCAAATTCTCATGCCTACCCCAGACCTACTGAATCAGAAACTCTGGGGTGGGGCCAAGCAAGCAGTATTTTAATAAACCCTCCTGGTGATGCTGATGCATGCTAAAGTTAAAACCAGGCTCTAACCCCACTCTGAGGCTTCTTGATGCAAGAGGTGAAAATACCATTACGCCATCCTCATAGCTCTGGCAAATAAGTCTCTCTTTCCTCTTCTCTTCTTGTTGACAGGCAAAGCTTGAGAGTACCCTCAGAAAACAAGGAGACACTCAAAAGCCCTGACATCCTCAAGACAAGGGCCAAGACTGGAACTTCCCACCTTCTACCCTTCCCAAGACTGAGATGGGACCTCAGGAAAAATGTCTGCTAGAAGGTGGCTCTAATGGTCAGAGCCCATGAGGACTGGCTGAGGCAAGAGGTTTTAATGTCAATCGCCACAAAACCTGACTGCTAAGAGCAGCTTTGAAATCAGATGGAACTGGGTTGTAATTTCTTCTGCCACTTACTAGCTGTTACCTTGCCCAATCACTCAGTTGGTCTGAACTTCAGGGTCCTCATTTGTGAAAAGGGAACAATGTCTCCCTCATAGTGTGCTTTTAGATTTAAAGGAGGTAATACATGTAAAACATTTATCACACTCCCTGGCCTATTTTAAGTCTCAAATTTAAACAAGTATCTATTGCATGCTTAATAACGTCAAGTACCACGCCACCTACTGACAATACTGAATGAACACGGTCCCGTCTTTATAGTCTAACAGGAGACAAGAGCAAATGCTAAGTTACCGATTGAGATGGGACTAAGGGGTCAATAAAGTGTATAAACTACAAATTTAACTGAGAAAATCTGCTATACAAAAGGTGGCGAGAAAGGGCTTAAGGAGGCGACATTTTGAGACCTTAAGAAGGAGGTATAATGCAAAAGTCCCAAAGTCCAAAAGGACACTCTGGGGTCGACGGCGAGAGCTGGGGGGTAGGTTAGAGAAACCCAAGGCAGGGGGACTGGGGCATAGGGAATAAATATTGTTGGTGAGATTGCTGCTGTGACTACCAGAATCTGGGATCGCAGGGAACTGGATGGGGTAAAGCCAGAGACTTAGATGGATCACCAGGAGCTGTCTGGGGTCAGAGATGACGCGAAGGGTCAGAAGTAGAGAAGAGGAGAGTAGAGAAGGAGAGGATTAGAGTGCTGGCTAGATATGCAGTGAGGTCTTGGGTCGTTCCTTACCCGCCTGGGGCAGGAGACCCCTCCGCAGCTTCGCAACCACGGAAGCAGCCATAGCCACCGGAAAAACAAACTGGAGCCAAGAGGAGGCGGAAGGAGCTAAGGATTGTGGGGGACAAAGAATTCCCCGGCACGGATGCGCATCCGCCGGATTGAGGCATACTACGCATGCGCAGAGCCGGACCAGTAGAGCCCGCCCTTACCCAGCCATTCCCGCGCGACTTGGCGTTCGGTCTCTTAGCAACGACGCCAGACTCCGGGGAACGGCTCCTTTTTGGTCTCTTGCCTACAACCTCCATTCCCCCTTAGACTCCACACCATCCCCTCCGATTTACTTCTGATTTCGAACCCACCCGCAACAAGTTTCTCTGCATCAGCCTGTTTCCCTTTTCTTCCAATTGTGGGCTTCTCTCTTTACCTACCATCGCTAGGAGTCGTCCAAGCTTCTGGACTCCATTCATCTTCCGCCTCAGGCCAGCCGCGGTTTATTTTAGATTATGCCTAGCAGTGAGTAGGGGGGGGTGGGCTGGTGTGTAGAACAGTTGGACAATAATAGGTACAGAATGAAGAAAGTTGACAATTGGACTATCATTTCACAGCTAATCATGCCCAGAGTCCAGAGGAAGGGGGTGTCTGCATTACTGAAGCACTTATCACTAAGCGGAACTTGACCTTTCCTGAGGATGATGATCTGTCAGAGATGTGAGTGCGTGGGGGAGGACGGAGAGGGATGCTGGAAGATTGAAGCACAGGAATGTCCCTTTCCCTGAGCTGTACTCATTTGTCAATTCGTCTTTTGTCTCTTCACGTTCCAGTCAGTGATAATGCCCAATTGATTTTCCCACCTTAAAGATTGTTCTTTTTAAGTCGGGTGTGGTGGCCGGCTGCCTATAATCCCAAAATTTAGGAAACTAAGGTAGGAAGATTGTGTGTTCAAGTCCAGACTGAGCTACAGAGAGGCCAGGTTGGAGTATATAGTGAGACCCTGCCTCAAAAAAAAAAAGTCATTCTCTTTTCACTGTTCTCACTCACCTGCCTTAGGTAAGGGTATCATCACAAACTCAACAAACTCCTAGTTTGTCTTTCTGTCCCCAGTCTGACCTCCCCATACTGTTACCAAAATGGTCCTTATAAATGACAAATCTGATCAGGCACTCCCTGAGAGAAACTTCCTCCCTCAGTCCTCTGTTAGATCCAGAGTAAAATTCATATGCCTTAGCGTGAACTCTCCTCTGCTATCTCTTTAGCCTTTTCCCAGCCACTCCCCATCAGTGTGCAATTTCTTATACCATATTCTCACACTTTAATACCATATTATTACCCAGAGGTGGGGGCAACATTGGTATCACCTGGGGGCTTGTTAGTGGAGTGATTCAAATGGTAGAGCACCTCCCTAACAAGCACAAGGCCTTGAGTTCAATTCCCAATACCACCAAAAAAATAAAAAAAATAAGAATCTCAGGCCAGCCCCAGACCTATTGAATTTGCATTTTCATGGCCCCCAGGATCCTTCTACTCTGGGCTTAGTGCACAGTCCATGTACTCCCATCATGTCTGTACTTGCCTCTGGCATCCACTTGTCATTGATGTTTGGCTTGCTTCTCTAATAGTAGTGGACAGGGACTCTGTCATTTGTTTCTAGGAGGCACTTGGTAAATGTGAAAATAATGAATGTGTGGATGAAACAAGTGATTTTCCTTGTATGGACCACTCAAAAAGGAAGTGAGGAAGACTCATCCAGTAGAGATGACAGCATCTCTATCCAGTCTCCACCCCTGCCTCTACTATCCAAGTTGGCATGAGAAAGGCTTCTCTTGCCTCTTGAGTCTCTCCAGGAACCATGAGAGGCCATCACCCAGTTTCCCAGAGGTGGCCGTACTTCTCTCTTGCTTGCATACTTCCCAGGGCCACCCACAGAGATCCAGGTCAAACCACTTTCATGACTGGGATACTTCATCCTGAGCTGAGCACCACTGGCTCACACCTGCAATGCTAGCTACTTGGGAGACTGGGATCAGGAGGACCATGGTTCAAGGAAAACAGTTTGCAAGACCCCATCTCCAAAATAACCAGAGCAAATTAGACTGGAGGCGTGGTTCAAGCAGTAGAGAGCCTGCTTTGCAAGTGTGAAGCCCTGAGTTCAAACCCCAATCCCCCCACCAAAGATAGCTTTTATTGACATCTGACCAAAACTACTTAACCATCCTCCTTGAAACACCTTCCATCTTCCTCCCTCCCTTTCCTGCTGTGAGACCCAGAAGTGGGCTCTATCACACCACTCTGCCCATTCTTCTTCAGGTTTCACACCCTTGCTGAACTGCAGACTGTCCGCCTGGACCGGGAAGGGATTACCATTATCAGGAATTTAGAGGGACTCCAGAATATTCACAGCCTCTATCTGCAATCGGTAACTTCTTGCCCCCTGCTTTTCCTCTCCCCTCACCCACTGTGGACCGAGTCTGTAATTTGAAAGCAGCCAAATGGATCATCTTGTATATGCCTGGTTTTCAGGCAGGCAGACCTTCCTTTAAACCATTCCCAGATGAGTCAGGAATTCTGAATTGAAACAGTGATCCCCCAAAACAAATTCTGAACATGCTTGTGAATCAATGGTCTTGTTTTCTGTTGTTGTTTTTGAGACAGGGTTTTGCTGTATAGCCCAGGCTGGCCTCAAACTTGAGATCCTCCTACCTCTACCTCCAAAGTGACAGGATTACAGGCATGCACCCCAAGGCCCAGCTGAATCACTATTCCTTAGAGACTTCTCTTACTCTAGACATTTGCTTTATTATCCTAAATTATTCATGTTACATAGTTCAAGCCCACTTCACTGCTTTGAAGAAGAGGAAAACTATGAAGATTCCTCTACATCCTTAGGTCCTTGAAGGCTGTGTGTGGTGGGGGTGGGGTAATCTTCAGCCTTCCCCAGGTTGCATATACCCAGCTCCCTTGAATTTTCTCCACAGAAACTTTACAGATCAAATTAGCATACGCTCATTGCTCCCTCTGGGTATGTAAACCATCCCTAAGGCCTTTTCCATTTCCCTAGTGGCCTCTTTCCAGTTCCCAGGTCCCTCTGATTGTGCCAGTTTAGCCAGCCCCAAGTTTACACCTTTAACTCTCCACCTGGAGAGAAAGCAAATCATCTTCCTCAAAGGAATTACAACCAGTCACTCCAACCAGGAGTGGGTGATCGTTCCCAAAGTACATCTCCAGCTGTTAGAGTAGACATGGTCTGGGGACTTCATCTCCTTAAAGTCTCCCACCTGATCTCAGCTTGGTTTCCTCCTGCAGAATAAGATCCAGCGAATTGAGAACCTGGCTTGCATCCCCACTCTACGGTATGTGGTGCCAAAGCTCAGGTGGGGAAGGATTGAAGGGTGGGTGGGGCCTGGCAATGCCCCAGGACTTGACTCAGAGCTCCCCAGACCTCGCTTTTTATCAGTTAAGGACCCCGTAAGTCCAGCTCTTTCTTCACCCCCAAAAAGGCATGTATCCCCACTTGCCATCCATCTGCCTAAGCAGGGGCCCAAGGTGCCTGGAGGGACTTTCTCCAGCTGGCCTATGATTCAGCTCTGACTCTGTCACCCTCCTTTTCCTACAGCTTCCTGTCTCTGGCAGGAAACCGAATCAGGCAGGTGGAAAACCTCCTCGACCTCCCATACCTTCAGTTTCTGGACCTGTCTGAGAACCTGATAGAAACGCTGAAGCTGGGTAAGAATGCTTTTGCCCTGGCTCATGAAGCATGCCCTGTGTTCTCTTTGCTTGCATTCACCACCCCTACCCTCCATCCTGCATGTATACACTTCATCCTCACAGGCTCAGAGCTGGTATGAGACCCTCACTCCCTCTCTCTGCTATACAGATGAGCTGCCCCAAAGCGTTCTCATCCTCAACCTGGCTGGAAACCCCTGCACCAACCAGGAGGGCTACAGGTAAGAAAGATGAGAGCAGTGGTGTGCTGAGTGAGCACCGCTTCTGATTCCATGTGGCTCCCTCTCAGCCTGCAAACTTGGCCTATCCATGGCCCTTTCTCCACTCCCATAGTCCAAGCCTTCCCTGTTCTCAATCCATTCCCAACATCTCATTAGAGCTTTTGCCCCAAGAGCAGAGGGGACCTGCATCCCTCTAGGTGTTGGTGCTGTGGTGTGTGTCATTGCACCCTCCCAGGTTCCACACAAGGGACATTCTCCTGGATAGTCTGCCCTCTGCCCTGCAGGAAGATGGTGATAGAAGCCCTGCCCCTGCTCCTGGACTTGGACAGGCAGCCTGTGTTGGAGCGCTGGACCTCAGATGATGAGGATAAAGCCTCAGATGATGAGGATGAGTTCCCAGAGCTGAGTGGCCCATTCTGCTCAGAGCGAGGTGATTCTGCTGTCCAAGGCTTATAGCCTCCAAGGGCCCTGTGGGAGGGATGTCTAGGGAGTGGTCCTAGCCCAGCCAGCATCTGGGCCAGAGGTGGTGGACAGGGCCAGCCAGGTACCATCCTGTGCATGCTAGGACTCACCTCTCTCCAGCCCCAGCCTCAGGCTCCTCCCTACTAGGGATGACAGAAGGTCAGCCAGAGACCTCCCTGAGCCCAGGGCCCTCCTGCTAAGCCCCAGGGTCCATCCACCACCCTTCTCTCTCAGGCTTCTTCAAGGAGCTGAAGCAGGAGATGAGCAGGCACCAGGAGCGCAGGCAGCAGGCTGCCCAGACAGAGCACCTTCTGAGGATGGAGACCCAGCCTGCCCTCACTGACCTGCCTCTGATGCCTAAGGTGCCCATGGCAGGGGACAGCAGCACTTCTGTCATTCCAGAGCTGGAGAAGGAGTCACCCCCTTCTCCTGAGGCCACCTCCTCACCCCAGACCACCTCTACCACCAAGAAACCATGCACTCTGGTTTCCAGGGGCCAGAAAAGCTCTGTTCTGGCAATGAAGGGGGGCCCAGAAGCTACAGCCCCCAAGGCCTCTTTGGTTGGGACCCCCAGGACAACTAAAACTGTGACCAAAAGAACCAAGAAGTGAAGTGACCTCTTTCTATGTGCTTCCCCTCCTGTGCAAACACCTCAGATATGGCAAGAACCCCTCTCTAATAAAATGTCTCTAGACTTGAAATACCTTTCATCACTTGGGGAGACATATCAAGGGAAAGAACCAGTAAAAGCACCAGGAGCAGAAAAAAACAGAGTCCTAGGAGGGAGTCATGGCTCAAGTAGTAAGAGTACCTGCCTATCAAGTGTGAATCCCTGAGTTCAAACCCCAGTAACACCAAAAACAACAAAAAAACAGAGCCCTAAAAAAACCCGGCACGGGTGGCTCATGCCTATAATCCTAGCTACCCAGGAGGCAGAGATCAGGAAGATCACATTGAAGCCAGTCCTGTCAAATAGTTGGTGAGACCCTGTCTTGAAAAAACCCATCACAAAAAAGGGCTGATAGAGTGGTGCAAGGTGTAGGCCCTGAGTTCAAACCCCAGTAACACACACAAAAAACAAAAAACAAAAAAACCAGATCCTTAACAGCAGCCTGATTCTAAAGAGCAAGTTCTCAGTCTTCAGGAATGAATCAAAATGACCTAAAAGGGCTGGCATCACCTCCAGATCCCTGGTTGGTTTCCTGACTCCTGAGTGGAGTGGACAGGAAGTGGGCACTACCTCATAAAGGATGCCATCCCAAGGGGAACATCTTACTGCCACCTGAGGGAGTATTCCTTCCCTCAGGTCCAAGTCAAGGACCAAAAGCCTGTGGTCCTAGTTGACCCCAAACAGTAGCTCACATGCAGACATTCCCTTCTTGACCTCACAGCCCCACCACAACATGCAGGTCCAGTCCTCATCCTCTCCATCATTAGAATTTTCTGCCTAGGAGCTGAGTATGGTGGTGCATACTTGTAATCCTAGACTTGGGAGGCTGAGGCAGGAGGATTGTGAGTCCCAGGCCAGCCTGGGCTATATAGTGACAGTCTGTCTCAAAAACAACAAACAAAAGAAGACTGGAAGTATGGCTCAAGTGATAGGGTACTTGCCTAGCACGAATGAAGCCCAGAGTTTGAATCCCAGTTCTACCAAAAGAAAATGCACAAGAGTAAAGTGCTTGCCCAGCAAGTACAAGGCCCACAGTTCAATCTCCAGGACTGAAAAAAAAAATTTGCTACCTGGTACCACACCACAGTCCCCACAGCCAGTTTGGTGCTGCCCTTTGCCCTCACTTGGCTCTCTCATCCCCACTCCCTTTGGACCTGGGATCCAATTCACTGAACAAAGAAGTAAAACATTTATTAAAAACAAAGGCCACAGCAGGCACTCAGAACACAACTGAAGGCATGAAGGGATCACTCCAATTCCATCACCCCAACTCAGGGCAGCTGGCAACAGGGGTTCTGCACCCACCTGGGCCAGGAGGAGTTTGTGGTTATGCATAAGCCTGGCTCTCCCTCTCCACAAAGGCCTGGAAGAGGCTGCCCAGCTCTTGGAGCACTGAGGTTTGCTTGCTGGCCAGCAGCCCCCGCACAGCCTCCAGACCTTCCTGCTCCAGGTCCCGCTGCTTCTGCCGGAGTTGCTGCCCCCGTTCCTACCAGGAAAGGCCAAGTTAGGGACTAGGTGCCCTCTTGTGCAGCAGGAGAAAGTCAAGATTATCTATTCACACTGTCCTGGGCAGCTAACTTTGCAGAGTGGTGGTCCCTCTTCCCAGTTTTGCATCCTCCTCCACTCCAGGCCCCTCATGTTTCCAGTTAGGGGGAGAGTTGTGTCATCCTCCCCAGCATGGCCTCTATTCCCTAGGGAGTTACCTGCCCACTCTCCATCAGCCCCAGGGCTGCCTGGTGTCCACAGTAGAGCGTGTGTCGGCGATCCACCTGAGTCTGGAACCGGGGCAAGATCCGAACAGGATCCTGGGCTCCAAAAGTGGGGGATAGCACTTGGGGAACTTGGGCTGCCCCTACCCCAAAAATGAAGGGTTTGAACACCGACCTAATGGGATAAGGACAGAGGACTGAGGTAGGTCACGTACCACCATCTCCCCTGTCTGGTACGCCTTCCCCAGTTCCTCCTCCCTCCCTCACCCTCACCTGGATGGGTCTGGTGTGGCAGTGAGGAAGTGGACACAGGGCTTTTTGGGATCCAGAGGCAAAATGGACACCATACTGGCAGTGGTACGGAAGCCTCCAGAGTCCATGCAGATGCCACTCTCCTTGTTCCTGAGAATATCCATCATCACCTCTGCTGTGATGCTCCCTGTCAAATAAGAGCAGATAAGAAGGCCCAGGCAGAGGGGGTGTAGAAAGACCGCAGGGCTGTTAGCATCGTCACCCTCCAGGTCCACCACTCACAGACCTTGCTGTTGCTGCAGCAGTTCACACCCGGCCCGGAAGCGGGCTTTCGCAGCCTCCATGCGCACAGGCTGTTGGGTCAGAGAGAAGACCTGGGCAAAGTCAAAAGTGCCCTGTCCATCCCACCATCCCTGGGCCAGTGCATGGCTCCGAAGCTCTGGGTGTTCAGCAGAGATGTCTGTGCCAATGCTCAGCTGGTTGGAGATGTTTCGGGCCCCTGCTATAAAGGAGATGGGAGAGTCATTTACTTATCATGGAGCCCCCCATTCTGTGCCATGCACTGGGCTGGGTGCTGAGAAGACAATGGTGACAAGAACAACCTCATGGGGCCTATGATGGTGGGAGAGACAGAAAGAATAATCACAGAGATAAGTGCAATAGCAAAGCAGTACCTGCTTGCATATAGAATGGAGGCTAACTGCCCAGGGAGGCCCAGGAAGGCTTCCCAGAGGAAGGAACAGGTTGGAGGAGAGGAGGCCTTAACCAAGTAAGGGTGGAGGGGAAGACAATAGGTCTTAAGTGGGATGTCTCCCAGGATGTCCTAAGCTGTGGCACCTGAATGGAGACTCCCTGCTCTGCTGACTCTCCCACCTTCCAAGGCTGACAATCTCTGAGAGGCAGTCCCCAGGACTGGGCCCCTCACCCTGGATTCTCTGAGCAGCCCACAGCTTCCCAGCAGTCTCCAGGACCCATGCCTCCGTCCGATCAGCAAGCAGGAAGGTGTTGTGGTAGCAGAACGGCGTGGGGTCCTCCCGACAGCTGCCCCCCTGCCCATAGCGCTCCAACAAGCCCGAGATCACATGTACAGCTTCCTGGGCAGTGCTGCTCCGTTCTAAAGCCAGTCTGGCAAAGAGAGGGCAGGAGACAGAAGTGACCCAGAAGGATTTGGTGACAAATTCAAGTCACACAACAAATCCACTGGCATTGGTTGTATTAAACACAGTCATGCCAGTGGCTTCCAAGCTGTGCCCTGAAGATTCCATGAAAAGGCCTGAAACATCATCCCTGAGAGAGAAGTGCCCTGAACCCCCACCTGTCTTCAATCAGAGCTGTTCCATCTTCATCAGTTTTATAAAGCAAGATTCTACATGAGGTTTCAATAGAAAAAAAAGTCTTCTCTTGAGAAAAAACTGAAATTGTTGCTACCTATTTCTGGGCTAGGAGAGGCTCCTTATCAGACTGTGGAGATGGGGCCAGGAGAGAGGAGGGCCAGGGCAGCCTCCCCCGGTGAGGGCACAAGGGCAAGGTCAGTAGAGAGCGGAGGTCCCTGTAGACCAACCAGGCTGGAGGAGGAGAGAATTCGGGGGATGAAGGAGGGTGGGCTCACACCTGAGTAGGTCCATGCCCAGCAGAGCTTCTCCTTCCCTGACAGGTTCCTTGGTCCACACGGCTTCATTGCCAATGCAGACGCCATGTTCATTGGCGCCCATCTCAGCCCCCCACAGCCAAGAAGGGCGGCTCAGAATCACAGCATGAGTCTTCGATACCTGTTCCACCTCAATATAGGTGCACTGCAGGTAGAGGAAAAAGGAAAGGCCCACTCAGAAAGGGCAGAAACTCCCCTGTGCTGGTAATTTGTTAATCACCTTACACACTGCCTTGAGGAAGATCTTATTCTCATTTTACAGATGAGGAAGCTGAAGCAGTCAGAAGAAATAATAAGCTGGAGGTCCAGGTTGATGGACTCAAAGCTCATAATCGTCTCACTATATCTGACAGCTTCCCAAGTTTGGGGAGCAGAAGAAGAAGGTCTTAGAAGAATGCCTACATTTACCATACCTGCCAGCATCCTGTAAATCCTAACCCACCTGCAGGCGACTCCCAGGGCTGTGAGCGCCTGCTGGTACAAATACCACCTCTTGAACCTCGTCCCGGGGTCGGTCAGAGTTCTTTGCAAAGATCACGGATGGGATGGCGGAGGCCGGGGACACAGAGACAAAGCAGTCGCAGGAACACGGGGTGTCAGGACTCCACGTTGCCATCTGCAAAGAGGTCCAGGCCTAAGGTGCTCCTCTCCCAACACGTGCAAACACTCAGAGAAGACAGTGCCAAGGGCTCTGCACGCACATCAGTGCACGGTGTACACAAACTGTGCATGGGGCTTCGAGTCAGCAGGCAGCACAGACCCTGCAAGTTCCCAGGATCCTGCCCTTACTGGGAGACCCTACTCTCCAGTCTCCCACCTTCTCCGAGTCCCATGCTCCTGCGCATGCCCAGAGACTCGCTCCCGCTTCCGTCCACCTCTTTTCGCGTCCCCAGTACCGTAAGCCTGTCACCGTCTCTACCTCCAAGACCCTCAGCTTGGTCTCGGACACCGCTACCTTCGCTTCGGGTCTGGTCAATCCCATTGGACCAGGGTCCCAGGTGACCTGGAAGGCCTTTGGCCCCGGGGGGGCGGGGCCGGGGCCGGGGCCGGAACAGAACATCTGCAGTTCCTCACTTTTCCACAAGGTCGCGCTCTAACACCACTTCTAGGAGCCGAACAGTTGGGGGTACCTGGGTGCCTTTTTTCCGGCCTGATAAAGTCTGGGATGAATCCGTGGGCTTCTTGGATGGGTTCACTGTGGGGAGCTGGAACTGGGGGTGGAAAGGAGCCTGCATGAAGCGGGAAGATTCGTAAAACAGCGAGGACTGCCGAATTATCTGGAATTAAGGAAGAACATAAACTACTTCAGTTCTGGCATGAATTCCAAAGACGCAATTCCAATAATATATATGAGCAGTCACAAGCCAGAAGACGTAGGGATAACTTAAATTGATATACTTTTATACTTTTTTTTTTTGGAGGTACTGGGGTTTGAACTCATGGCTTCGTACCCCCTAGTTAGGCGTTCTTCCACTCGAGCCGCACTTCAAGCCCAAGTTGATGCACTTTTTTAAAAGGCACAAAGATACATGTGCACAAAACTTTCCAACCCCAAAAGTCCTATTCAGCCCTCAGTGGTTCATGCGTGTAATCCCAGTTATTCTGGAGGCAGAGATCAGAAGGATCAAGGATGGAGGCCAGCAGTCCAGCCCAGGCAAAAAGTTAGAGAGATTGTATCTCAACCAATAAGCTGGACATGGTGGTATACACCTGTCAACCCAGCTACTTGGGAGGGATAAATAGTAGGATGGAGGTTCAGGTCAGCCCAGGCAAAAACGCAAGATCCAATTCAAAAAAATAACTAGGTCGGGCACTGGTGGCTCACACCTGTAATCCTAACTTACTCAGGAGGCAGAGATCAGGAGGATCGTGGTTTAAAACCAGCCTAGGCAAATAGTTCATGAGACCCTATCTCGAAAAAACCCATCACAAAAAAGGACTGGTGGAGTGGCTCAAGGTGTAGGCCCTGAGTTCAAGACCCAGTACCACCAAAAAAGGGCTGGAGGTGTGGCTCAAGTGGTAGAGTGCCCTGAGTTCAAACTCCAGTACCATCAAATATAAAATAAATAAAAACATCCTATTCTGTCTCATAGTGTTCAAGCTCATAGCAGATAGCTTTGAAAGGAACTTTAGAATCTCTACTCCAAAGATTTGGTGCCTTTACATATAGTAAAGCTGAAAGAGCAAAGGAGAAGTCTTTGCAAGGGGGCCACACAACAGTGCAGAGGTGGATTCTGATCTCGAATGTTTTGATTTCCAGTTCATTTTCCTCTCTAAACCATCTCCAGAGCCAGCAGTTAAACAAATGCATCTCATATACCTTTGCTCCATGGAGCCCTCCGGGAAACGGGGTTGGGAGACACTGCAGATTATCTGCTTCTAGGGATTGCACTGAGTCTGTAGATGGCATAGACACTTCATCTTTTAATTCCTCCAGCCCTTGAACACAGAATATTATTTTTGTCTTCAGTTTCTGTCATCAATATCATCTTTTTCAGTGTACAGATCTTTCCCTTTCTTGGTTAAATTTATCCCTACACATTTTATAGCTATTATAAATGGGATAATTTTCTTGATTTCTTTTATAGATAGTTTGTTGTTAGTATGTAGGAATGTTACTGATTTTATTCCTTGATTGGTTCTAACCGTTTTTTGGTGGAATTTTTTTTCCTAACATTCTTTTTAAGCCTCTACTGTTAGTATGCTGAGCGGTCAGGCATGCTTGGATTTTAATGGGACGGTGACGGGTGCTGCTGGCACACATTGAGGAGTTGTGAGGTTACTATTGGGTGTCACTTGGCAAACGTCAAGGTTATTTGCCCACAAGCACAGGCCTCTGGGGTGGCCTGCGGGAAACCTGGTTCCCCTTCTGCACTTCCTCAGATGCCCACTTGGGGGCGAGCGAAGGAGGAGGGAGCCGGCGTTGAGATGCCACAGCGCAGCCCCAGGCTGCGTTCCCAGACTGCCTTCTCCTGGTCACGTTTCCAGTCCTAACTTCATTTACCCACCCTAGAGGAATTCTACTCCACTTCCCGGGAGAGGAGACGGCTCAAAGAGGTCGTCCAGAGGGTCAACCCAGATGTGCTGATTTCCCTGTCGGGGCGCCACATCTGAGGGGTCAGAGGTGGCCTTGGGCTCCATCAGGGGGGCCAGGGCAGCCAGGCAACATTGCAAACAAGTAAGCAAGCGTCAGAGCCCCACCAAAGGCCCCCGCTAAGAATGCAGGTCAGCGGGAGGAGCTGCAAGGGGAGGAGGGGCGGCCCAGCCCTGCCCAGACTGGCCCAGCCGGCCCCACAGCTGCCCTACAGTCCCTGGGGGCAGTGATGGAGAAAAAGGAGGGGACTCACCAGGTTCCTGGGGTCTAACTCCCCTAGAACCAGGAAGACAAAAAGAGGTGCCCAGCAGGAGTGCTGCAGGCTTGAGGTCACAGGGAAACAAGCCTGTCCCTCCTCCCAGGCTACTAAATTCAGGAGCAGGTGGAAACAAATAATTGGCCCCCAAACCGGTCTGTTTCCCTCATAACCCCTAAAATCATCCTGATGCCTTGTTCCCAAGGTTACCTTAAGCTTTGTAGCCCCAGAATCTCTCAAACAAGTGATAGGATGGGCCAACATGAGAGCCAGATTTGGCTGGAGAAATTGGGTCAGGAAACCTACTAGGGGAAAATAACGAATTTGGGGGGAAAAAAATGTAGGCTAAGAAGGTGGGAAACCACGACTTATCCCCTGCTCTTTTAGAACCCAAAACATCCTCCATTCACCCTCCTAGCGTTTGATCTCTGTGGTCGGGAAGTTTTTACTCACTTGACATGAATTAGGCACCAACTGTATATACCAGCTGGGGAACTGCAAAAGGACAGGTATTTTTGTGTCTTAGAGCTGGGCACAGTGAGGGTACGTCTGTGCGCACCGTGTTTGCGTTACCCTGGCGGGTTTTCAGCTGAGAGTTGTAGAAGCAACCTTTCCCTCATACTTTCCAGTTGGGCGGCAGCCCATCAGATATCTTGGCTGCCTTTCATCGCCTTGTCCCCGATAGGGATCATCCTGGGTGAAGAAATCGCTGTCAGTCACCCCCACATTGCTCACAGCCAGAGGGACCGGCTGACATGCATGCTCCCATGGGGGTGTGGTGAAGGAGCCAAGAGGCCAGCTATGGCTTCGAAGGGAACCAGTGTTCTTAGGGGAGGAGGAAGAGCAGACTTGCATATGCAGGAAGGAAATATCTAGAAACTTCTCATCTTACAGGTGAAGACCATGGAGGGACAGACAGCCCAGCTATCAACCCAGAGGAGCCCTTCCCTCCCTCTACCCCTTAGGGCAAGATTAGACCCCAGCTCTGACCCAGCCAACTGATGGAGGTGAGGCTGCCCAGGGATTGCAGGATCAAAGAGAATTGTCTACCCCACCCTGCAGCCAAACCTGGTCCTCACTGCTGAGGGACACTGAGTCAAAAAGCAAAACCAAGTTGGAAGACAAATGAAGCGATGATGTGGTTGATGACTTTATTGTTGCATAAAAAACACAGGCTGTTTCTGCCTCCTCCTCCCCCCCAAAGTGGGTTCACAGCAGTTAAAAGAAAAAATATTCCTACATTTTCCTCTAGGGGGGCTGCCTAGAAGGGCAAGCAGCCAAGAAACCTAGATCTATAAAAGAGAGGAGCAGAAGAAAACCTATCCAAAGCCCCACCCACATACCTTAGGGCTGAGGCCCTTTATATGGAGGAACATCCATGTCCCCCCTACCACTAAGACCCATGTGGGAGTTCTTAGAATGGTCACTGGAAAAGGCTGTCTTGGTAGCACAGAGAGGGGGTGGCTGGTTTCGATGGGTGGAGGAGAAAGGCATCCCACACCCACGGTGCCTTCCTTTCTTCCCCTCTGCAGCTGGCCAGGCGACCTGCAGGCATGGCCAACACTGCTCTTTCCCTCAACCCTCTCACTGAGGAAGAGAACCTCTGATTGAGTTAGCAGGAGGTGGGGAAAAGACAGAGAATAAAGAAAAAAATCTTACTTCTTAAACTACCCCAGGTCTCAGAGTCCCACAGGGAAAGTCATCCTGTCCCTTTTAAGGAGATGCTCTTTCTACACAAACACATGTTCCCACCCAGATCCCAGCCCCTACTTCCCATATAGCTCCCAGTCCTTGGACTTGGCTTCAGCATCCCCAGTAGAGGAAGAGATGCTGTGGAGTTTAGGTCCCAGACTTTGGACAGGGTGAACAAGATGGGGCCTCAGAAGACCCCAGGCTCAGTAGAGAAATACACACATACACATACACGCAGGTACACACAACATACATGCCCTAATATTAAATAAAATACCCTTTGCTTATAACTTAAAATCAATAAACAGCTAATCCCTGCAGAGGGTTCTGGGTGGAGAGAGGAGAGCTAAGGGAAGGGGAGGTCAGAGGGACTAAAGGCCTCTACCTCAAGCCTGGGAATATCCCCAGCTCCAGGGTCCTGTGGCCTACTGGAACCTTCCCTGTATCTACTTCTTTCCCCTCTGCTTGGCTCGGCTTCTGCTGGGCTTCTACCCTTCCCACCCCTGTGATCATAACAAAATTTATTTCTAGCATCTAAAGGACAAGGGAGGGATGGAGAGAGCTTCCTGGAATCCTTCCAGTGGGAGAACAACTCCTTCATATGGAGTTGGGAGCTTTCCCCTGGAGATGAGAGGGAGCAGAAGGATTCTACAGCAGTGGCAAGGGATCAAGTTAGAGAGTAGGGCTTAGCTTCTTGGTGAGCTGGAGAGGCCCAGGCAGAGGCAGTCCTCCACTCTGAGCTCCCTCTGCTGGGACACCCCTATCTAACCTAGTAAACCTCTTCTTTCCATCCAAGGGGAAGGCAAATGATGGGGACCCGGGGAAAAGAACTCCATCAATTCTGGAGCTGGCACTACTGGCTGCCTTAAAAACCTACCTAGGGTGGGCTGGAGGCACCTAAGCCCTGAGTTCAAACCCCAGTGCTGCCAAGGAAAAACAAACAAGCAAAAAAACAAAACAAAAAAACTCCTAGGGTAATAGATGGGGACTGTGGAATACTAAACTTGATTTTTTAAAAGACCAAGTGTTACCAACTAAATCAGAGTTGAAAAGCGATTAGTTCCTTTCAGTCCCCCTGCTAAACCTCTTTCATTTTATGAGGATTTCCCCGCTCACAACCCCCTCCCCGCCCCCATCTCTGTCTTCCATCTCACAGCTCTGGCTGGGAAGCTGTCCCCTTGTCCTTCGTGGCTCCATCAGACTGGATCTGGAAGGGTTAATAAGGAGGCCCATGAAAGGAGTTATTTTTACAGCAAGGAACCTCCAAGTTAGATAGACACCCCCTAAGAGGGACCCCCCCCCCAGCCTCCCCCACCTCATCTCAGGTCTCCCTCCGGAAACCCCAGGGACGGAAGCAGCAGAAGGGGGATGAAAGGACCCGGGCCACAGGCGGCTCCGGAGGCGCTTTTATGTCCTGGCTCCCAGGCGCTAAAGACGTGTCCAGACAACTACCCCCAGCGCCCCGGGCCAGCCCCACTCCTCTCAACTGCGACTGAAGGGGATGGCGGTCCCCTCCACCCCTAGAGGTGGTAGAGATGCCCCATCCCAACCGCCCAGCCCGGGGAGGAAAGGGGTGAAATAGTGGAGAAGGGAAGAACGGAGAGGCATGCGCAGCTCGTCCAGTCCAACCCCAGAGACTAAAATACCCCTAGCCCCGGTCTCCCTGTTCCGTCACCACTTTTCCTCCCCCTTAATAAATAATCACCTTCCCCTCTTACTCAAACCGCCCCCTAAGGACGTCTGATCTAGGGACTCTCTTCCAGTGCACCCAGGAGACAGGTAGGGAGGCGGCACCCAAGGGGCTCAGTTGGAAGGCGCCGCGCTGCCCTCGGTCTCCCGTTTGCCTTTGCCCCCGGGGGGCTCCACCACGCCGCCAGCCTTGGCCTCGCCCGGGGCGGTCCCGGCAGCCTCTTCTTTGGCGCCTTCGTGGGTTTTCATGTGCTTGGCCAGGTGGTCGCTGCGCATGAAGACCCGGCTGCAGACCGCACATGGGAACTTCTTGGTGCCGGTGTGGGTCTGGAGGTGGCGCTGCAGCTCATCGGAGCGCGTGAAGCGCTTGCCGCAGAAGAGCCAGTTGCACACGAAGGGACGGTCGCCGCTGTGCCAGCGCAGGTGCGCCTTCAGGTGCGACGTCTTGGCGTAGGCTTTCCCGCAGCCTGGGATATGGCAATTGTGCAAATGCTTCTTCTTGCCCCCATCGGGCCCGCACGGAGCCCCCAGTCGCTCCGCCTCCAGACAGTTGGGACAGCGACAAACGGTCTGGCCTGAACTGCGGGGCACCGACCGCCGGGAGCCTTTAGGCCGGGCCGCCGCGTCCAGACTGGAATCCAGCCCTTGGGACTCCGGCGCGGCCGCTTCCAAGGCCTTTGCCCCGTCAGGTGGCCCCAGAAGGTGCTGCCCTCCGGCGGCTGGGAGGAGGTGGTGCGGATGCGGGTGGGGCGGCGGGGCACAAAGCTGGTGGTCTCCAACGTAACCCCCCAAACCAGCCTGAAGCGCCCCTGGGTGGCCAGGTGAGGTCAGCGCGCCCTGAGTGTGGGGGAGGTCCATCCAGCTGGTGCCCGGATGAAGGTCCCACCACGAGCCATCCTCTGTGCCTGGATGAGTCGGCCGGAACCACGATTCGTAATGGTGTGACATGTCCGGCTGCAGGAGCTTGGAAAAGGGTCCCGGGGCCAAGGGACTATCGCTTTCCAGGTCCTCGCAGGTTACCCGCGAGGAGGTCCCCGGCAGCTCATAGCCCTGGGAGAAGTCTACCTCCGGGCCCAGAGGGAGGCTCTGCAGCTCTCCAGGCTGCAACGGGGAGGGGTAGTCCCCGGCCTCGGGGCTCGTGTGGCCCTGGTATGTTTGGAGAGGCTGCAGGTCGAGGCGCGGCGGTGAAGCGTGGGGCGCGTCCGTATGCTGGCTGCCCAGAGAGCCGCAGACAGCGGTTAGCATTGCCGGGATCCGGGGTGGGGTGGGGGACAGGGACGGTCAGGGGCACCTCAGATGGGACCTAAAGGAGCAAAAAAGAGAAATAAGGAAAAGTAACCGGCTCAGTTTCCCTCCTAACTCAGATACTCTTCCTGCAAAGTGCAAAGAAGAGGGGCGCGCCTCTGGGTGGGGAATACAGATTAGGGTTTGCGAGTGCTAGGAAGGGTTGAGAATGTGAGAGTCTCAGCCAGGGCAGAGGATAACCCCCACAGGACCCAGCTTATCCCTGAGTTGGGCAGGTCCCACGATGGTAGCTTGCAGTGCTAGAACCATCCCCATTCCAGCACAAGGAAATAAGCATTTCCCCCCTGCAGACCTGCTGCCAGCTCAAATGGATGACCTAGACACTTCTCTGCTTCTCCAGTTTAACTCAGGACACAGATTTAGGCATGCTTCTGAAACTCAAAGCTTGAGGTGACTTGACCTTCAGAAAACCCCAAGAAGCAGGTCCTGAATTTTTGGAGAAAGAGCCTTCACACCACTGCAGGTCTACCAGTGAGGAAGAGCATTTCACGTCTACGTACTTCTCTGCTTGGCTTGTTGATTTTGCACCATCAAAGCGACTTCCACACTGGGCTCCTGCTCTCTTCCCTCTGGGCAGGGAATTTGCCTCACTGGGGTGAATACTGAAGTGCCAGTTTCCGGGGGAGTTCCCCCAACCAGAGAAAGCAATAATTCCCCTTCCCTCTCCTGATCCAACCAGTGCCAGCTAACACTCTGGCTGATACCCATGCCTTTCTCCAAGCTAGGAAGGCCCAGATATGAAGCTGGGAGGGATTGGATTCCCCAAAGAACAGCTTGCCAACACACTGAGGAAGGTATAATTGCCATCCCCTTAAGGGATGCAGGGTCAGAGTTCAGATAGAGAAGGGCAACAGAAGTCCTAATCACAGCATTTAAGAACAAGGATTGCCCAGAGATCCTATAAGAGTCAAGGATAATTTTTAAAAGCCCCCATATGATTCTAACATACCACCAAGTGTTGAGAACCACTGCTCAAAGCCAACTTTCTCATTTTAAAGAAAACAGAATTTGGAGCCGTGAATTGAGCAAACATATCGAGTTATTCATTCAGTCAACAAATGTACTGTGCAGTAAGTACCTCAGAGAATCAAGTCTCTCAACTCCTGGTCTGCTACTCTTTTTCTAAACCACTAGAAACTACAGGCCCAGCAGAAACCTAAAGACCCAGTCAGGACACAGTGGTGCAGGTCTAGTCAGAGGCCAGTTTGGGCTACACCGTGAGACCCTATCTCAAACAAAACAAAACAAAACAAAGACCCTCACCCCTTTCTCGATTACATATCTGTGACCTAGTCCTCCTCTTCTCACTACTTCTCCTTAAGGCTGGAGAGCCTTGCTGGGTGAAGGGGTGTGAGAGGAGGCCAGTGATTTAGGGCACAGACCTCCCCATCTTTTCATTCCCACAGTAGGGCTCAGCTGACCTGCCTCTGGGACCAGGGAGATGGCACTGATAGTCTGGGAGAGGCAGGGAAGAGGAGGGCTAGGGCGCCTACTCAGGCTCTGGCAGACTCACCACAAGAAAGGAACAGGGTGAAGCAGCAGGAACGGAGCCTCAGGCCGGGGCGGGGCAGCCCAGAAGGGGCTGGGCGGGAGCAAAGAGGCCTGGGACCCTAATAGCTTTTGGCGCCTGGGAACTGCCCCAGGGCCTGGGGGGATGGGGAGACTAGGACAACCCAGGCTCCAGAGTGTCGTCTCCTGACAAAACCTGAGCCCAGGTCTGGGGTGCAATGGCCTTCTACTAGAGTTTCAGGAAACGAGAGGGCAGGGCGCGCACCCGGGCTTCCCGCTCCCTAATTCGGAAAGATGGGCACAAACATCCTTCTATCCTCATGCCAGCCGGCTGCATCCCCCGATTCCCAGTGCTCAGGCGGTGGGGACTTCCGTGCTCTCGGTTCTCAATGTCCCAGTCCTCCGGTTGTCCCAGTAGCTCCAGTTTCCCCAGTTTCCTGCCTCCTCGGTCCCTCCAGTCTCTCCTGTCCTCCCGGTTTTCCCTCAGCTGGGGCTGTAAGCCCCTCAGATCCTTCGGGACCACTCGAGGTAAGAGAAGGCTGCGGGGCATTCGGAGTGCTTTTTCCAGCTTCTCTGCAGCGCACTCCCCTGATCCCCCGGACCCGGGCTCCTACCTGGAGGCTGCGCTCTGGCTCTGGGCACGGCTGGTTGGCCCGCTACAGATGGGCGCTCATCGGCCCTGAGCGCTGGCCGGCTCTCAGCAGTAAGGGACAGAAGCCCAGGGCGAGCGGGGGCCGCGATTAGACCCGCGGCGGGCGGCGGTGAGAGCGGCTGGAGGGCGGAGGGCGGGCGGAAGCCTGCGAGCGAACAAGTGAGCGAGCGAGCGAGGCCAGCTCCGCCCGTGACTCACCGCGCTTTCTGCCTTCATCCTCTTCGCTGCGCTCCTTTTTCCTCCCAACTCGCAGCCCCGCCCACCTCACCTGCGGCCGCCTTTAACCCTTGCGGGCTCGGCGGGACGCGAGGCCCAGCCCGGCCAGGAAGAGGGGGCGGGCGAGGGGGGCAATGGCTGTCTCCCGCCCGCTCCTTCACTCCTCCCTTGTCCCCTCCACTCTCAGGGAGAGGGGCCTGGCCGGGGTGTTCCCCAGGTTCTGAGACCCGCCCGATCCGGTGGAAAGCTACCCTCGAGCAGGTTCGGTCTCGCCGGGGACGTGGCTCAGACCCTGGGGGAATAGAAGAGGGGGCGGGTCCTGGGGATGCTACAGAGTCGCCCTTGGTTGCTTCGGACGCCCTTGACCCACCCGCCACCGCCGGGCAGCGCTGCCCTGGAAGTGAGACGAAAGAAAGAAAGAGACTGAGCGCCAAGTATGTGTCCGGTCCACCCCCAGACCCAGGCCGTGAGAAATTCGTCTTGGCAGCGCTCGTTCATCATTCCCCCCACCGCTTCTCTCCACCCCCCACTCCGCAGTCCTTTCCCTCTAGCTTTCCAGTTCTCCTTCTCTGGCCGCTCGTCGTTTTGGGTGACCCACAACTTAGTCCCCTCTCTCCGGTCTCTGCCTGCCCCCACGCGTCTCACAGATGGCCTCGGCGCCCACCCTCCACCTCCCTTAGGCGGCAACTCCAGGGCCCCCAAAGTCCACCTGTCACACGATCCCCTCCTCTCCGGCCGGAGGTGCTCAGCCCCGGCTCCCCGGATTCTGAAGGCTGGACAAGCGCCTGAATGGCCCTGGGTCGGAGCATTTTGGCAAATAATTGAGCGAGTCCTTGCCGATTCTCACCTGAATATCTGATTCTGGAGAAGGATCTCGGATTTCTTTGAGAAAAACAAATGCACAAACACAGTGCAACACTGGGGTAAAATTTTAGGGCTTTCGAGGAGCTAGCCTAAAAACTCCTCCCAAGATTCAGATCACTGGAGATCCTGAGGACCCCCCCCCACACACACACCCAGCTCTGGTAGTAGAAGCGCTCCCCCGTTTCCCGCCCAGCTGTTTTATGCTCGGAGGCAGCTAGTGCTCCCTTCCTGGTTCTCTGCAGAGCTCGGTATTGACCTTCCAAGGTGATCCTTTTTTCGCAAGAAATTTCTGATCAATTTCAGTATTTCTTTGGTTGCCTCCGCTGACTTCCCCTATATGCTTTTCCAACGGCTTTTTATATTTTCGGTTTTTTTTCCTTTACAGGCAGTTTCCTCGAGTCTGGAATTTAAGATAATTTAATCTCTCTTCTACAGACCTATTTTACCCCCATTGTCTTACCTGTCCTGTATTCCCGTTTCTGACACACTAAAGTGTGATGATAAGCCGGTTTAACAGAGTCCACTGCCATTGGAAAATCAATCGTGTGTGTGTGTGTGTGTGTGTGTGTGATTCTCCCCCATTCACACGTCCATATGCAATCAATGTTTCATTCATTTGCTGGTCTCCCTCTTTTCTAAGACTCAATTCCCTCATCTGGACAACTGGGTACAAGTTGGGAGGGTTTCCTAGAGCTTAAAAAAATTGTACCTAAAACCACTAAAGCCAGAGGGGTCCCTGGTAACCACAGGGTGAAGGGAAGACATCCTTGTTGTGATCATTAAATAAGTCAATTCCCAGAAATGTTTGTTGGATTAAGGTATAGTCACAAAAATCTTGAGAAGTTCACAGAACTAAATTCTAGCCCCTGCCCCTCTCTTGCTAAAATGACCCTGGTGGATCACAGGTACTCTAAGCCTCCTTTCCTGAGCCACCCAGGTGAATGAAGGATGGACTTTGGAAGCTGAAGGACACTTCTCCGACCTGACTGAGATTTGTGATCAGTTGGGTTTCCTTCTTCCTTGCGCTTGGGACCCTGCAATGTAGAGTCACAAGAACTGCTCTGGATGTTTGTGGTCTGGCTAAATTAACCCTCTTTATCAACATGGTTTTATCTCTGTCCACTCAGCATGCAAGTCCTGGGTAGCGGGGTTTGCATCGCAGTTCACAGTCACCACCAGAACAGAGTTTGAGGCTCATCATATCCAGAGCAGAACCCCGCTGACCTTACTTAGGTTCCTGGGTTAAAACTCAGTAGACTCCTTCAAATTCCTGTTTCCCCTCCTAGTTGCCTACTGTTGCTGCCTTTACTGCTGTTTCATGTAGTAAGCCTACACTGGGGTCTGACTCTGGGTGAGGGGGGATTGAGTCCCCTCTATCATTTATAGATGCCAGATTGTCTTATCTTCCCAGTGGTGCTTTCCATCTTTTCCTGGAAAACAACGGGGATAAGGACGGCAGATACCCCAACCCAGCCCCCATTTTTAACTGTGCCCCACAGCCGTCTAAGTTCCCTCAGAGCAAGGACCCTGAATCTACTCATGGCCATCAGCATGAAATTCAACAGTAAAGACGTTGTCTCTGGAAGCTCTCTGCTATTCTGTCTTCCTGCCCTGCCTCTAGCTATCTTTCTCCCAGATCCCCTACTTCCAGCCCTTTCCTTTTCCCACTTTCTAGATTTTTTTTCTTTTTTTTAACCAAATGATGGCCATAGTCTGAGATTGACATGACTGCTAAAGTCACCACTGCACATATTTTTATCTTGACTCAAAATTAAACAATGCTACCCTCCACACGAACTGAGATCTGTCCATGACTTGGGCCATTTCTGTCCCTCTCCTTCAGGTCCCTCAAAGTCATAGTTAGATTTCACCAAGTGTTGACCTCCCATTCCTGCCCCCTCTCTTCTCAAGCCTCATTTGTAGTTAGTGATCCATTTTGTGCCTGGAGAATCCTTAGTCTGCATGTCAATCATAAGCAGCATTTATTTATTGAGAACCTACTATGTGCATGCCAAGTACTTTACATAAATCTCTCTAATTCTCATGAGCATGCAACAAAGTAATTATTATTTTTATTTCCATTGTACAGATGAGGAAGCCAGGGATCAAAGAAACTAAATGACCTGCCCAAGATTACAAAGCTGTTAAGAGACAAAGGAGGAAACTGAGTCCAGATGGGTCAGGCTCCAAAGCCCACATTTTGCCTACTATTCCATCTGGACTCACTATGGCAGACATGATGGCCCTGGGAGTGGGGCTCCTCTAGATCCTGAAGGTCAAGGGGACAGCAGAATTAAACTGATCCCTAAAATAAGTCATCCACCAACCTGTGTCTGATAGGACAAATTGATCCTAATCTGAATTGCTGGAACAAGTCACCCTCTATAACAGTGTTCCCTTCCTCAACTTTCCCACACTATGGCAATATCAAAACTGCTCTACCCATAATAGTTGTTTAATCCAAGTCCTCATTTTAATTAGTAGGGAAACTGAACCCCAGAACAGGGAATTAAGTAGCTCAAAGTTACATAGCAAACTAGAAACAGAGCCCCAGTCTAATTCCTGGTTTCCTAGTTCCTCATTTTCCTTTACTTCCCATTCCCACCTCCAGGCTGTACTTCCAAGACAGTAAGCTGGTGACCTTGGATGCCAACACATTCTTCCTTTCCCCACGTACCCTCTTGGATTTCTGGAAAAGTGGGGTTAAATATTTTTCCTTTATTCATCATTTATTCATTCAACTAACACTTAATGAGGGTCTTCTAGGGCCAAACACCATGCTGGGTACTAATTTCTTTTATAAATCCAAATATCCTTTGCATTTGCCATTCCTTTTCATTCTTGAAGGTGAACTCCCCTGAGGAGAGTGCCTGTATATCTATAAATGTGTGTGTGCATCGTGCCTGGGTGTGCCTGTGTGTCTTCTCTTCCAGGTGTGCAAGATGCCTGCAGTAGTTTCTCTGCTTGTGTTCTGTCATTTGTAAACTTCTGTGGGCTGAGTCCATGTGCTCTGTATGTCTATCAATATTTGCCCATCCTTTCTCTCAAATCCCTGCCTTGCTTCTCCCACAGAAATCAGCCCAGTGTAGTTCAAAGACCCCTCCAAGGGATCCTTTGTGGTTCTCCTCCAAGAGCCCTCTCTTGTCCCCCTCCCCAACTGAAAAAGAATCAAGCCTTCCAGACCCTTCTCCATGATCCCTCCTTTAAAGTGGAAACCTAGCCCTCTTTGTGGAGGTTCCCTGTACTAGACAGGGAACAGCCTCTCTTACCAGTCCATGGAGCCCAGAGCTGGCAGCAGCAGTGAGGGGCACGTGGGGGTGATAGGAAAGCCAGGCTTTATAAAGGAGGCGACAGCTAGAGCCAAAGGGGGAGGTGAGAGACGCAGGCAGGGATGCTGCCAAGTCCTCACGGCCTCGGAAGCTTTTAGGATAATCCAGGAAACAGTGGCCCCCGGCTCTCCTGGGGGAGTGGTAGGGGGTGAGATCTGAGTCTCCCAGGTCTGCCAGGAAAGGAGGATTTCAGCTGGAAGAGGCAGCAGAGTGGGGGCAGGGCGGGGGAGCAGGACGTTCTTCCCCAGGGTTGGATGGACAGTGGGAGAGGGACCCAGTGGTTCCTGCGGGATGGAAGAAATGAGAGAATTGCCAGTAGAGAGTGCTGGGCTGGCTGGAACTCTCCAATCTCATCCCCCTCCTTTTGAGGTTTTTCTCCTTCGACTTGGTGGGAAACAAAGAAGTTCCACTTTGAAGACCTAACACACACACACACACACACACACACACACACACCACACAGAGCTACAAGCCAGTCAGTCCTTCTTTGCAGAGCTCTACATTAGAATTGTGGTTATTCCAACACATCTCTCCTGCCTCTGCAAGAACCTCCTTCCTCCCTCTCCTTTTTCATCTCCCTTTTCAGATACTTCCCAACGTGGATCTCCCAGGAGGATCCAAGTAATCCTCCTTTGGGCCTAGGATCTCAGTGTCAAGTAGAGAAAGGGAACCAACCCTCTTCCCAGACTTAGCATGAGCTGGAGTGGACAAGAGGTCATCTAAGAGAGAAGCAGAGCCCAGGCAAGGACTTTTATAGGCAGTAAAGAGGCTGGGGAAGTGACCTGGAAAGGGGAGAGAGGGCCTGGAGGTGTATTTAGGTAGAACCCTCACAGCCCTGACTATTTACATGAGCCTAATTTTAGGGTGGCCTCTGGCTAACAGTAGCACTTCCTAGAACAGAGATGGGAAGGAGAAAGGAGGTGAAACAAAGCTCTCTACAGCTGGGCATTTTGGTTATTCTGATCCACATAAGACAGTGGCCTGAGGAGGACTTATCACAGGTTGTGTCCTATTCTAGGTCATAGCCCACTGAGGACTGGTGCTGCTCTGCACTCCTTCTATACTCACAAAGCACCCAGTACCCCAGGGTTTGTATGTTACCTTCCACCCACAGGGTAAGCCAGCGAACCTTCACCCCAAACTTCTGCTCCTCCCTCTCCCCCTAGCAATCTCCAGACTGGGGATTCCCAGTCTCTTCATTAGCTTTTCAGTAATTATCACACAAAGGTCCCAACAGGTTCATCCTTTCCCCATTTCAGAGATGAGAACATTGAGGCCCCTCAGATGTGAAAGAGCTTCAGAAAGCCACCCATCAAGCAGGGGAGAATACAGTGGTGGGGGAGGGGGGGCACTTAGGAGGCAAAGAGGTACCCCTTCCTTCCATGCTTACCAAATTGAGAGGCCAGGGCTAGCACAACTCCCTGAGGGAAGACAGGCGTCAGGACCAAGGCCGGCTCCAGGGAGGGGCTTCCCTGTCCCTCCCCACCCCTTCCAGCCCAGAAAATCCTAGTGAGGGGGGAAACAAGCTAAGGAGACCACACAGGTGGAGTAAATAATGTTAATACGGGAGCATTATCACTAGGGCATTTCCTCATGGATAAATGTCTCAAATACCAAAGGATGCCTCCAAATTATAGTTAATTACAGAGTTGATTTGCATAAATTATAAGGTGAGCATACAAATTCTTTCAATCGGTTCCATATGCTTAGGTAGCAGGTCCAGTCCAGAAGATGGGAGAATCTTGGGGTGGGGGGAGTTTCAGAGAGGAAAAAGTCCTAGCCCTAGGCCTGGACCTGGGGCCCCACAGGCCTCCCATGTCTTTGAATCAGGAGAGGGTGCACAGAGATCCTGCCTGGTTTGTGGGGAGGGGAGACCCCCTTTTCTCCCCTATTCACACCTCCCAACAAGGTACCTTCCCAGCACCAATGAGGGCAGCTGAGAGATGAAGAAGGAGCCAGGAGTGGGCTTGGCTGAGCCCAAAACTGCAGAGTGAGGGGTGAGGTGGGACTCTGGAGTCCTGGCTCTGATCTCAGAGGAAGAAGAGAGAGGGGGCTGGCTAGAGGAAGCTGAAGACCCAGCAGGGTTAGTGGTAGATATAAGCTCCTCTTGCTCTCAGATCCCCTTAAAGCCACCCTCCCTACCAAACTCCAGCTCCCCTGGAGCCAACCCTAGGATCTCAAGTTTGATGTTGCCGCTGCCTGCACCTTCCAGGTGGCTCCTGAGCGGCTCAGACTCCCAGACTCTTGTCTCCAGTGCCTGGGCCTATTTCCTCTGCCCTTGCCTCCCAGGCCCCCCACCTCCTCTCTCCACCCCTAACTGCTAAGACCCTACTTCCTTCTCCAGCTCTCTAATTTTTCCCTCCTTTCCTGCCTCTCTCCCTCCATAGGACTCCATGGTCAGCCCCAGAGGCCTGTCTTCTACACATCTTCCCTTCACCTTTCTCCACTTGTGAGCCTCCCTCCCCCAAAAATCTCAGGTCTTTCCTACATTTGGCTTTCCTTCACACCCTCCAACTGCTTTCTGCTGCCCACACTTCTCTCCCTCCCACCCTGAAGTTTGTCTAGTGCAAGCTATCCAAATCCTTACTGCAAACAGGTCTCTGCTTTTTCTCCATGTATCTGTAGAAGCTACTGGATTAGATGGGAGGGGGCTGGGCTGAGGTTCCATGTGTGTGGAGAGGTGAGAGGGTGAGCACTTGCCTTTGTCTTCTCATTCTAAGGTCAAAGGGAAGGGGATGAAGATAGAACTAAAAGGTACCTGGTACTTAGTATTTCATAAATATTTGTTGGATGGATGAATGAATGGATGGATAGATGAATGAATGAATGAAGCAAGCAGAAAAATTCTAGGGAAGTGCCAACTTGCTGCCAGGAGTTTCTTCTTGTTTGGATTATTTCTCAGGTTTACTGTGGACTTTCTGCCACCTTGGTACCCAACTATCTAAGCTGTCCTGCCGGCCATTAACAGATTAATCAGCCTAAATTGCCACTTGATCTTGACACTTCCCATCTCACCATAGCCAGTAAATCCCCAGTGCTAAGTGTGACATCACAGAAACCTACACTTTTGTAGTCTTGGCTTCCATTGGTCCTTATAGAAACCCAGGGTTCCAGCTGGATAGACTTGAAGGTCACCAAACTATCTGGCCTTTCTACTTTTGCTCAGACTGTTCCCACTCCTGCCACCCACCCCTGCCTGGGGAAAGCATATCATCCTTCAAGCTCCATGCTCCAAGGCTGCTTTCTCTAGGAATCTCCTATCAGCACATCACTGGCTTGCTCCTGGAATTTCCCTTGCTCAGATTGCCTCATCCCCTGTTTCTGTGGGGGTGTTGTCTTATCTTCCTGTGGTCACAGCTCCTTGGGGGCAAGGACTATCTCTTCTTCATACCACACAGTCTTCATCCCCATGCCCTTCTTTGTGAAGGGAGTGGATAAGCCGTGGCTAAGAGAAATGTCTCCCTGGAACCTAAGCTTCTAGAAGCTCCTCAGTTGGTCAAATTAGAAGCCTGGAACCAGTGGGAAGATAAAATGAGGGTCCTGAAAACCCAAGACCTATGAAGACAGTGGGCACAGCTTTCCTTCTGTCTCCCACAGCTCCAGGTGGCCATTACTGTGTGACAGAGGTAGAAGGACCCAGCAGGCTATCTGGACATGCAGGGTTGGTTTGGGGACTGAGTATCTTGTCAGCCTGCTTGCAGTGAGTAGTTGGAGATTTGGGAAAAAAGAAGCAAAGGAAGTAATTGGGAATTGGGAGAAAGGGCTGGCTGGGTGGCAGCCATGGAGAAAGACAGAGGCAGAAAAAACAGAATCCTTTTTATCTGTCTGAAGAAAGTTAAAATTCTCACTAGTGTGGAAGGATCCTGATGAAATCTTGCAACATTTCAAAAACACTGGATAACTTGCCATTACTAACAAGAGAAAATCCATACTCTTTGGCCTGGAATTTAAGTCCCATTCCCCATCTGGCCTAAGGCTGTATTCCTTCCAGTCATATCCCTTCCCACTCCCCGAGTTCCAGACACAGGGGAAGTCTATTCTGTCCTTACTGTCTACATATATCCAATGCTCTATGTTGTTCCTCTCCTGAAATGGTCTTCCCCATTTCTCTGCCTGATAAGCTCTTACAGATCCTTTGAAACCCCAACTCATATGTCCCCCTCTTCTGAAACCTTCTCCAGTTCTCCAAGTTACCCTTTTCTAAGTTCCCAGAATCCTAAAATACAGAGGGACTAATGCCATTTGATGGGCGATATGATTAGTTGTAAGATCTTTGGGGGGTTGGAATCTTCTCTGTTCATCTTTGAATTCCCCCAGCATCTCAGTGACTGATACTGGGTTGAAATCACTATAAGGTGCATTGGATCAAATGGTGCATTTTGTAGAGAAGTGACCACCAGGTCAGACATTGGTGGTTCTCTATAAATCCCTGTGTCACAGACACTCAGAGGGGCTTCAAGTTGCTGCACCAGAAACATGACCTGACCCTTCCTTTTTCACCTGGACACTGTGCCCAGTGCCCTTCCTGGAATCCAATGTCAGTGTGGCACATAAGGCTCAATAAGAGGCCCAGCATCCTGTGTCTTGGCCAGCTGGGCACCACTGCCCATCTGTAGCCAAGGTCACCCAGAGACCCTCCAGCTAGATCCCATGAGAGGTGAATTAGAGAGGAGGGCTGGGTATCAGGACCTGGCAGGCAGAATTGACTGGGGAGGGGGAGAGCGGGCAGTGCCCTGGAAAGGGGGCCGGTCTCATTGTTGTGGTCTGTCTGGGAGATTCCTCCCCTTTTTAATTTGCTTCCTGATTGAGGGGTTGGCTCTGCCTGCCCAGCTCCCCCGTCATTATCTGCTGCCGGTGGCTCAGGTGCTGGCGAGCCTGGCGTGGCCCCTAGGTTATTACCTGGAGCTCTGGGGGTGGCAGAGGCTGCCCCTCTGACCGGGGTGGAGGCCTGTCTGGAATCTTCCCCGATCCTACCACCCATGGGGCAGCCATCTTGATACTTACCATGGTGGACACACTCACACCATGGGGGCTGCTTTTATTGGAGACAGATAAA